TCATCCAACCACCCAGTTATACATCCACTGACACGCCCAGCCGGCCAACAGCCAGTTACAAAGCCAGTTAGACAGCCAGCCAGACAGCCAGCTAGACAGCCAGACAACAAGAAAACAAGAAACGACAAGAAACTTTCTAAGTCAACATGTCAGGGATCCCACAAGGATGAAAGGAAACTATGAACCAGCGAGACTCGACCTAGTCTTCACTCTGAACGACTCCGACATAAGAGAAATCGGTTTTGAGGCCCCAGTAGGAATGAGCGACCACAGTGTACTGGCGTTTGAGTACCTGGTTGAAGAAGGGTTATTGAACTCGAGGAGGTGTACTGAAAACAAAAGGTTGGCATTCCGTAAGGGAAACTATGAGGAGATAAGAAAATTCTTAACAGATGTAACATGGGAAACAGAGCTCAGGGAAAAGACGGGCCAAGACATGATGGACTACATCACGCAGAAGTGCAAGGAGACAGCAAACAAGTTTGTCCCAGTACAAAATGAAGACAACGAAATGAAGATGAGAAACCCCATGGTTAATCAGAGATGTAGGCTAGCTAAGCAGCAACGTAAAAGGGCGTGGAGAAACTATAGGAATAACAGGACACTTGAGAGCAGAAAAAGGTACAAGAGTGCCAGGAATGAATATGTCAGGATGAGAAGAGAGGCAGAAAGACAATACGAAAATAACATCGCAAGCAAGGCAAAGACTCAACCTAAATTGCTGCATAGCCACATCAGGAGAAAAAAAAAGCAGTAAAGGCACAGGTAATGAAATTAAGGATAGGAGCAGAAGGATTCACTACAAACGACAAGGAGGTGTGTGAGGAACTGAAAAAAAATTCCAGGAGGTCTTCACCTTAGAGCAAGGAGAAATTCCAGAGATAAGAGAGGGACTAGTTAACCAGGAGCCACTAGAAGAGTTTGAGATTATCAGCGGAGAAGTAAGGAAGTGTTTACTAGAGTTGGATGTGACAAATGCTGTAGGCCCAGATGGGCTATCCACTTGGATACTAAAGGAAGGAGCAGAAGCACTGTGCTTGCCACTCTCCATAGTGTATAACAAATCACTGGCAACAGGGGAACTGCCAGAAATTTGGAAAGCAGCTATCGTAGTCCCGATATACAAAAAGGGGGGTAGACAGGAGGCACTCTATTGGGAAGGTACTTTATTGGATAAGGGAGTACCTAAGCAACAGAAGACAGCGATTCACTGAGAGGGGTGAGGTCTCAGATTGGCGAGACGTCACAAGTGGAGTCCCGCAGTAGTCAGTCCTTGGACCTATACTGATTCTAATATATGTAAATGATCTCCCAGAGGGTATAGACTCGTTTCTCTTAATGTTTGCTGATGATGCAAAAATTATGAAGCGGATTGAAACAGAGGATGATAGTAGGAGGCTACAAGATGACCCAGACTGAATGAATGGTCAAACAAATAGCTACTAAAGTTTAACCCGAGTAAATGCAAAGTAATGAAACTAGGCGGTGGAAACAGGAGGCCAGACACAGGATACAGAATAGGAGATAAAGCACTTCATGAAACGGACAGAGAGAAAGATCTAGGGGTTGATATCACACCAAACCTGTCTCCTGAAGCCCACATAAAAAGAATTACGTCTGCGACATATGCGAGGCTGGCTAACATCAGAACAGCCTTCAGGAACCTGTGTAAGGAATCATTCAGAATCTTGTATAACACATATGTAAGACCAATCCTGGAGTATGCGGCCCCAGCATGGAGCCCGTACCTTGTCAAGCACAAGACGAAGCTGGAAAAAGTTCAGAGATATGTCAGTAGACTAGTCCCAGAACTAAGAGGCATGAGTTACGAGGAAAGGCTGCGGGAAATGCACCTTATGACACTGGAAGACAGAAGAGTAAGGGGAGACATGATCACTACCTACAAAATCCTCAGGGGTATTGACAGGGTAGACAAGGATAAAGTATTCAACACTGGAGGGACGCGAACAAGGGGACACAGGTGGAAACTGAGTACCCAAATGAGTCACAGGGACATTAGAAAGAACTTTTTCAGTGTCAGAGTAGTTAACAGATGGAATGCATTAGGCAGTGATGTGGTGGAGGCTGACACCATACATAGTTTACAATGTAGATATGATAGAGTTCAGTAGGCTCAGGAACCTGTACACCAGTTGATTGACGGTTGAGAGGCGGGACCAAAGAGCCAGAGCTCAACCCCCGCAAGCACAAATAGGTGAGTACAACCAGCCCGCCAGACAGCCAGACAACCAGCCAGCCAGCCAGGCAGCCAGCCAGTCAGTCAACCAGCCAGACAACCAGCCAGCCAGCCAGCCAGCCAGTCAACCAGCCAGCCACACAGCCAGACAACCATCCAGCCAGCCAGTCAGCCAGCCAGTCACACAGCCAGACAACCAGCCAGCCAGCCACACAGCCAGACAACCATCCAGCCAGCCAGTCAGCCAGCCAGTCACACAGCCAGACAACCATCCAGCCAGCCAGTCAGCCAGCCAGTCACACAGCCAGACAACCATCCAGCCAGCCAGTCAGCCAGCCAGCCACACAGCCAGACAACCATCCAGCCAGCCAGTCAGCCAGCCAGTCACACAGCCAGACAACCATCCAACCAGCCAGCCACATGTCCAAAAATTTAAGTTTTTTTCCTATTCAAAACTTGAGATTATTTCCTCTCTAAAGTCGAGTTAATATTGTGCCGAAACAGCCGCCATTTTGCTCCAAAATCATTCAAAAATTCCCGCCTGAAACAGCCACCATTTTCCGTCCTCCTGATGGTCATCTCCCTTTTTGAAATGTTCAAATAATATTCTTTACTCTCTAAGTTTCTTAATTTGTACTGTTATTTTCGAATTATTAAATAACAAGGTTAAATAAAAATGAGTTATAACCCTCCAGGAACGTATCACTACCGCGACCAGCGCCCCGGTAACAGGAAGTCCCCTTCCGGGGTCTTGGAGTCCCCTTCCGGGGTCTTGGAGTCCCCTTCCGGGGTCTTGGAGTCCCCTTCCGGGGTCTTGGAGTCCCCTTCCGGGGTCTTGGAGTCCCCTTCCGGGGTCTTGGAGTCCCCTTCCGGGGTTTTGGAGTCCCCTTCCGGGGTCTTGGAGTCCCCTTCCGGGGTCTTGGAGTCCCCTTCCGGGGTCTTGGAGTCCCCTTCCGGGGTCTTGGAGTCCCCTTCCGGGGTTTTGGAGTTCCCTTCCGGGGTCTTGGAGTTCCCTTCCGGGGTCAGCGAGTCCTCTTCCCGGGTCAGGGAGTCCCCTCCGGGCGCCAGTGTGTCCCACCAGACGACCACCACCACGGAGGACGACATCACCACCTGCAGGTCGTCGGAGGTGGGGTCGTGCGACGCCTCCTCTCAGCAGTTCACCGAGGAGCGGAGATTCAAGTTTAAATACAAGACGGTGACGCTGTACCTGGCGCTGCTGGTGGAGGTGGTGATGCTGGTGGTGGTCGTGGCTCTCTTCGCCGCCTGGATGAACACTCTGCCGCGGGTCGACCGTTGACACGCGCAAACTGAGTGGTAAGCCAGCCCCTGCCGGGTGAGCCAGCCCCTGCCGGGTGAGCCAGCCCCAGCTGCCGGGTGAGCCAGCCCCTGCCGGGTGAGCCAGCCCCTGCCGGGTGAGCCAGCCCCAGCTGCCGGGTGAGCCAGCCCCTGCCGGGTGAGCCAGCCCCTGCCGGGTGAGCCAGCCACTGCCGGGTAATCCACACGCTGCTATAACACTTTATTTTTCTTTACTTCTTTCCTTATCAGGTTTGCATCATCCGCACACGGATGGTTCTATTTACCTTCATCAGTAAGAGAATGGGTCACAATACCGAGCTCTAAGGCATACCACAAGTTCTACCACTCTGATTTCTCCTCTTTCTCACCGTTACCCTCAGTTTCCTACCCAATGGGTATCCATCCCCTCACCCACTCAGACACGGTCCCAGGTACACAGCTTTGATCCCAAGATTATATAGGAGTCTTGTGTGTGGGACTGAATCAAACGCTTCCTGGTGATCAAGGACAACTCAGGCAACCCTTCCTCTCTCTCTCTCTTTCTCTCTCTCTCTCTCTCTCCCTCTGATTTTATTGCTGTCATTTGCTCTAAGAACTCTAATTGATTTGTTAGACGTGACTTAAACTGAATCAATGTTGGGGACCGAGAGATACAGCCCGGTTTATTATCTTAGTGGACTCTTGTAAGGAGTTCTCCTACTTTCCTGTTCAATCTTTGTACTGTGTTATAGCCTCTGTCTCTCATCGTAGCTCCTTATGTCCTGGGTGTTTGAGAGTCCTTTTGTATTCAAATGTTAACACGTGGTGGCCAAGTCTTCCCTGGAGCATCTTGTATCTTATACTGTCTGTGTGTGTCTCATTGTGTGTAGAGATTATGTACGGTCAGGTTCGTTGATCTTCTAGTGGTTTTTTTTCTCGTGTTTCTCCTTAGAAGTTGAGGAACACTTCTAAGGAGAAGTGTTTATTTGGAGAAGTGGAGAAGTGTGCATTTGAGTGTGTGGGCATGATTATTATAATCATCTCCTCATAGCGAACCATGAGGAGAAAGCACTAAGCCATTATGACTATATAGCACTTGCAAGGGGTCAGGATAAGGATTTGGGATGGGACGGGGGGAGTGGAATGGTTCCCAACCACTTGGCCTGGACGGTAGAGCGACGGTCTCGCTTCGTGCAGGTCGGCGTTGAATCCCCGACCGTCCAAGTGGTTGGGCACCATTCCTTTCCCCCCCTCTCCCCCCCCCCACGCGTCCCATCCCAAATCTTTATCCTGATCCCTTCCAAGTACTATATAATCGTAACAGCTTGGTGCTTTCTCCTCATAGTTCCCTTCCCTTCCTTAGAAGTTGAGCTGGAAAGTTCCACTCTGTGGCCTCTTTTAGTTTTTTTCTCCAAGTTATATTACTTCCCTGAGGAGTAAGCTGGGTGACGTCCTTGAGGTTCCTTGGAAGGAGACTTCCTTGGTTGGGGTGACCCGAGGATGGTAGTTTGGCTCTTAGGTGGTGTGTGTGTGGGTGTGTAATTACCTGTGTAATTCCCCAAGTGTAGTTACACGATGAGAGTTACGGTCGTGGTGTCCCGTCTTCCCAGCACTCTTTGTCATATAACGCTTTGAAACTACATTAAAAAGAATCATTCTGTTATGAAAAAAGAATCACCTGGTGTATGTGTGTGTGTGTGTGTGTGTGTGTGTGTGTGTTTACTAGTTGTGTTTTTACGGGGGTTGAGCTTTGCTCTTTCGGCCCGCCTCTCAACTGTCAATCAACTGTTTACTAACTACTATTATTTTTTTTTTTCCACACCACACACACACCCCAGGAAGCAGCCCGTGACAGCTGACTAACTCCCAGGTACCTATTTACTGCTAGGTAACAGGGGCATTCAGGGTGAAAGAAACTTTGCCCATTTGTTTCTGCCTCGTGCGGGAATCGAACCCGCGCCACAGAATTACGAATCCTGCGCGCTATCCACCAGGCTACGAGGCCCCATATGTGTGTGTGTGTGTGTGTGTGTGTGTGTGTGTGTGTGTGTGTGTGTGTGTGTGTGTGTGTGTGTGTGTGTGTGTGTGTGTGTGTGTGTGTGTGTGTGTGTGAGCGTGTGAGCGTGTGAGCGTGTGAGCGTGTGTGAGTGCGTGCGCGCATGTGCGTGTGAAGGAGAAAGACCCGACAAGAATACTTAAAAGCTTCTCAATACGCTCCAAGAATTAAACTGTTATTATTCGTTATCATTATACATATGTTTGTTATCGTTATCTATTTGCTCAGCTATATTTAAATGTTATGATGAGTTTGGCACGATTCAGAGTTAACTCATCATGGAATAAGACGTCACTTAATACAGGATGTCATTTCAAGAATTCAATTACAATTTGAATTTTTTTTTTGGCACATTTACTTCATTTTTCTCTCCTTCATTCTTCTTTCATTGTTCGCTCTCTTTACACGCAGAAATCATAATAGCGTGCTGCATCAAATGAACAAATCCACAAGGGCCGTGACGAGGATTCGAACCTACGTCCGAGAGCATGTCAGACACGACCTTAATCGACTGCGCTACGACATGGTTAAAAGAATGGCAACCAGAGGTTCCCAGAACCCCGTGAGTAAAACTGAGTAATATTGATCTCCGAGTGTCCAAGTGGTTGGGCATCATTTCTTTCCGCCCGTCCCATCCCAAATCCTTATCCTGACCCCTTCCCAGTGCTAAATAGTCGTAATGGCTTGGCGCTTTCCCTTGTTAACTCCCTTATGCCTGACCTTCGCTTGAAACAAATCAGCGATTGGGTCTCTATTGTGTGAACCTTGTATATATTTTGTCCCATTAATCATGAATACAGAGGAATGTGGTCTCATATCATACACATCCACATATACTCACATGTACACATCCACATATACTCACATGTACACATCCACATATACTCACATGTACACATCCACATATACTCACATGTACACATCCACATATACTCACATGTACACATCCACATATACTCACATGTACACATCCACATATACTCACATGTACACATCCACATATACTCACATGTACACATCCACATATACTCACATGTACACACACACACATATGGCTAAATGACACCTGACGGTTACATGGACAGCATTCGGGATTCGTTTTGTTAAATCTTACCACAAAAAAAAACTAAAAAAAAACTAGAAAATTCAACAAACATTTTACAGAATTCAACAAAAATATTAAAAAAAAACTGTAAACATATTGAACAAAATATTATACTAATATATTAAAAAAAACATTTCTACAAAAATTAAAAAAATTATGCAAATGCAAATAAAATTCTATACAAATTTTATATTAATTCCTCAAAAATTCGGCAAAAAAAGATAACTTTTTTTATTACAAATATTCTAAAAAAAAAAAAATGATTGTTACAAAATTTTACGAAAATTCTTCTTTAAAACTCAAAGAAACTTACAAAAAAATCTACGAAAATTCCACAATATATATTTCTCTCGCAACACTCCAATTTGGCCATCTCCCAAGTTCCCTCGGGTCCTCAGACCCAATTACAGCCTGAAAGACTTAGGTAACTGCACCCAATTACATCATTAGTATCAAATTGGGTCGTTAGGTCTATTTTAAGGGGGGGAAGAAGAAAGGCCTTTTATGGCCTTTGAAGTTAAGAAAAATAATGGCGGATATAAATGACTCTTTCCTTTTTATTATTATTATTATTTGTTTGATTGTAATTATTAAGACGTTTGTAAAGTCTTATTGTTGAAGTTTGTCTGTAATACAGATCTCGGGTATTTTGTAATGTATAGCCGTATTTTATTGTGTAATTTATCTAGGTGTGTTTGTGTGGGGGGGGGGGGGGTTAAGCTCTGGCTCTTTGGACCCGCCTGTCAACTGTCAGCCAACTGGTGTACAGGTTCCTGAGCCTACTGGACTCTATCATATCTACACTTGAAACTGTGTATGGAGTCAGCCTCCACCACATTACTGCCTAATGCATTCTATTTATTAACTGCTTTGATTACTATTACTTTTATTACTACCTTCTTTAAATAGTCTGTTTTTATCAACTCTGTCAATTCCCCTTAGAACCTCATATGTTGTTATCATGTCAACTCTGTCTTTCCTACCTCCAGTGTAGTAAGGTTCATTTATCTCGGTCTATTCTCATAGCCCAATCTCCTCAGCTCCGGAACGAGTCCCGTTGCATTTCTTTTGACCTTTTCTAATTTCTCCTTGTCCTTTTTCAAATAAGGGTTCCATGCTGTCATACACGGGATATATATTCAAGAGTTGGTCTCACCATCAATCTATATAGAGTCTAGAAAGCCCCATTGTCTACGTTCCTGAAGGATACATGAACGTTGGTCAGTACCCCTATCTTCATTACATTTGCTTGGGTTAAACTCTAACAAGGATTTGTTCGACCATTCCTTCAGTTTGTCAAGGTCTTCTTGAAGCCTCAAGCAGTCCTCCTCTGTCTTAATCCTTCTCATGATTTTAGCATCGCCAGCAAACATTGAAAGGAATGAGTCTATTTCCTCCGGGAGATCATTTACGTGTATCAGAAACAAGATAGGACCGAGTACAGAGCCCTGTGGGACTCCACTGGTGACTTCACGCCAATCTGAGGTCTCACCCCTCACCGTAACTCTCTGCTTCCTATTGCTTAGGTACTTCCTTATCCACTGGAGCACCTTACCAGCTACACCTGCATGTCTCTCCAGCTTATGTACCAGCCTCTTATGGGGTTCTGCGTCATCACGACAGTCCAAGAAAATGCAGTCAGCCCAGCCTTCTCTTTCTTGCTAAATCTTTGTCACCTGGTCGTGGAATTTTATTAAGCTAGTAAGGCAAGATTTACCCTCCCTGAACCCTGTTGATGGGTTGTCACGAAGTTCCTTCTATCCAGATGTGTTACTAGGTTTTTTCTCACGATCTTCTCCATCACCTTGCATGGTATACAAGTCAAGGACACTGGCCTGTAGTTCAGTGCCTCTTGTCTGTCACCCTTTTGGTATATTGAGACCACATTCGCCGTCTTCCATATTTCTGGTAGGTCTCCCGTCTCCAGTGACTTACTATTCACTATGGAGAGTGGCAAACAAAGTGCCTCTGCACACTCTTTCAATACCCATGGTGACATCCTTTCTGAACCAACAGCCTTTCTCACATCCAGATCCAGCAGGTGTCTCTTGACCTCCTCATTCGTAATTTTGAACCCTTCCAAAGACGCCTGGTTTACTTCCCTTTCTCCTAGCACAGTGACCTCACCTTGTTCTATTGTGAAGACCTCCTGGAACCTCTTGTTGAGTTCTTCGCACACCTTTTCGTCATTTTGTCTAACTTCCAGGTATATATTTACTGCAAGGTGAACAGCCCAGCAGTGTGAAAGAAACACTGCCTATTTGATTTCCCCTCCGTTGGGAATCGAACCCGGCCCATTATTAAGACTAAGACCACCAGGCGCAATCCATTCAGCCACGAGGCTCCCCCTACAAGGGACCTCGTGGCTGAAACCACGACACAAACAAACACACACACACACACACACACACACACACACACACACACACACACACACACACACACACACACACACACACACACACACACACACATGGACCAAAGAGCCAGAGCTCAACCCCCGCAAACACAACTAGGTGAGTACACACACACACACACACACACACACACACACACACACGTGTGTGTGTGTGTGTCTCTGTTACACCCCAAGACTCTACAGGCACAAGATGACACTTCAAACTAGAACATAAATATCAATTTTTTTTTGCTTGATACTTTCAGACATAACATAATGTTCATCACAGTTTATATCATGAACTTAGCGTGAAGCTGGTGATCAGCTTCGTCTATATCTGAAGATAATGTAACTTAACATTAACTAACGCTTATTATTTATAAAAAAAGACTACCTCGTTATAAAGACCTTGCTTGGTCAACTTTAAAATAAGCTGAATTAAAGAAAGACTCTCCCTCTCTCTCTCTCTCTCTCTCTCTCTCTCTCTCTCTCTCTCTCTCTCTCTCTCTCTCTCTCTCTCTCTCTCTCTCTCTCTCTCTCTCTCTCTCTCTCTCTCTCTCTCTCTCTCTAAATCTAAATCTAAATCTTTATATCAATATCTTCACTATTTCTAATTGAGATCCCAACAAAAAAAATCATTATGAGATTATCCAAAATTCCACACTGAAGATACAATTTAGAACAATTTAACTGTCTGTTAAACAACATCTGTTCAGATATTCTCAGACAGAGAAGCAATGTGGTTCAATTGGAATAAGTTTTGGAATTTTCTTTTATCTAATACCAACCTTGGATCTGGCTCTTGGAGTTAGCATAGTTCCGTCAATAGCGAAGGGCGCCTCACACACCGCTGGCAGGTACGCGTCTGTAGACAGAGAGAGAGAGAGAGAGAGAGAAAGAGAGAGAGAGAGAGAGAGAGAGAGAGAGAGAGCTAAGAGAGAGAGAGAGAGAGAGAGAGAGAGAGAGAGAGAGAGAGAGAGAGAGAGAGAGAGAGAGAGAGAGAGAGAGAGAGAATCAAAATTTTGCCTTTAAAAAGTCTTTAAATGTGTTATTTATTAAATATAATCTTATCTTAATTACCTATCCGACGCAGATTAACTGCTAATGAACTTAAATCAGAAATGGGATAAGTGGTGACTTATGGTGGGTGAATTGAGGTAATTATAGGAAATAATCAGCTACCAAACGATGAGATTAATCACTTGGCGAGACCAATTACCCGAGTGAGATTAGTCTCCTAAATATGAGTTAAACAGCCTCTTAAGGAGATTACCAACCGACACACACATGAGATTAATGATCCTTTTGGTGAGTTACCCATTACGAGTTGAGTGAGATTAGTTACGTATAAGTGACTACTAGATTAGGGAGCCTGAAATAATTAAGGAGATTAAATGAGATTAGGGAGTCTCAATACCTTCATGTGATCTTAATGACCTGACGAGTGAAATCAGTCATCAACAAACTATTTTATAATAATACATGGGGGGTGATTAGATTTATCTGCTGTGAGTGATATGACGGGAATGAGATGATCTCTCTGAGATGAGTGAGACGAGGAGCCTAGTGAGATGTAATTAGTTAGCCCAGTTTCCTGAGAAGAGATGGCTGAGAGACGAATTTCCTAGAATGAAACGAGTTGAATGAGTTTCCTATTGTGAGGCGAGTGAGTTGAGATACTTGGATGAGCCCAGTGAGCTTAGTTACTTGGGTGAAGGGTGTGGTGGTATTGCTGTTGAAGCTGCAATTGCTTGGCCTCCTCTCTCCAGTCCTCCAGACCTGCAACACTCCTGGGGGGGGGAGGGATTAATTGAGAGATTTTAATATGTGAGGATTAATGATAGAAAGAATGCGGATTAATAAGATGGATTAACGGGAAATAAACAGTACGGAGAGATTCGTGGGAGAGAATTTTGAAGGGGCGATTAATACTATTAAATTAATGAGAGGATTGCAAGGTGGGATTTATGAGAGGGATTATTATTATTATTAAATGAGCAGGGGTGGAATACCAAGAGACATTAGAAAGGATTGACAAAAGAGATGAGATAATTGCAAAGGGATTAATAAGATGAAACACATTGGAGGCGATTAATAAGTTGTGACAAATGGTAAAGAAGGGATTTATTGATGGATTAATAGGGAAGGATTAATACAAGTCATTAATTGGAATAAGATTAAAACCTCATTCATCCACAGAAATAACTGAGTATTATTGCTCAACCATAAAAAGAAGATGAGAACATGAGAACATAAATACATGAGAAAAGGAGCTCGCATTAAAATCCATCTTTCAATATACCTTTTCCATTAAATCCATTACCAGCAACTACATTAATTAAATCCCTTTTACTCCTCTATTAATGTTATTTTTCAGAAAATCACTCTTGTTAATTCCTGAACGTTAACATGAGATATTTTATGAGAACTGACTATTGGGGGAGAAAGGGGGGGGGGGGTTACACGAGGAGATTAATGAAATGGGGATTAACTGGAGGAGATTAATGAATGGGATCCGGAGGATAAAATTAAGTTTTGGAAAATGTACGACGATGGAAGATTACTGACAGATTTATCACTACAGATCACTGGAAATGGCCGGGATTAACGAGAGGAGCTATATTTGTTTTTTTTAGAGATTAATTTGGTGGCAATCAGAGAATAGAACTAATATTGAGTGTTTAAAAAGTTTTAAACTTAATATTTATATATAAAAATCAGTCTACCTCAATTCCCTTTCCACTCCTGTCTCTCTGGAGTGAAATTTTCGATCCAAGCGCATTGATATGCGACATATACATATATATAAAATTTATACAAATATACCCATTGCATTATACCTTATGTATCAAGAGCCTCAGCGCCCACAAACAAACATATCCCCGACGTAATCCCAAAACATGCTCACCGATACGACAGTGATCAAGCACTGAGGTATATATATATATATATATATATATATATATATATATATATATATATATATATATATATATATATATATATATATATATATATATATATATATATATATATATATATATATATATATATATATATATATTTTATTAAATATGACCGAAAAAGTAAGATTAATAATTCTAACACGAATTTTCTCAATCTTTCGTACATTATGCTTCACTGTTGGAGGTAAATCAAAAATCACTTCTCCAAAATTCATTTTTATTTCTAGTCTGACGCGACACGGGCGCGTTTCGTAAAACTTATTACATTTTCAAAGACTTCACAAATACACAACTGATTAGAACTTGCATTTCCCTGATTTTATATCTACATTTGAGTGAGGTGGGAAGGGTGATGTGGCATTACATTTGAGTGAGGTGGGAAGGATGATGTGGCATTAGAGGATATTAATAGGGTATTAAAAGTATCAACACAAGACAGAACACGAAACAATGGTTATTGAATAGAAGTGTTTGTAGAAAGCCTATTGGTCCACATTTCTTGATGCTTCTATATTGGAGCGGAGTCTTGAGGTGGGTAGAATATAGTTGTGCAATAATTGGCTGTTGATTGCTGGTGTTGACTTCTTGATGTGTAGTGCCTCGCAAACGTCAAGCCGCCTGCTATCGCTGTATCTATCGATGATTTCTGTGTTGTTTACTAGGATTTCTCTGGCGATGGTTTGGTTATGGGAAGAGATTATATGTTCCTTAATGGAGCCCTGTTGTTTATGCATCGTTAAACGCCTAGAAAGAGATGTTGTTGTCTTGCCTATATACTGGGTTTTTTGGAGCTTACAGTCCCCAAGTGGGCATTTGAAGGCATAGACGACGTTAGTCTATATATATATATATATATATATATATATATATATATATATATATATATATCTACTAGATATATATACAATATATATATATATATCTACTCACTTGAGTCTCTGGCTTGCGTTCATCTCCCTGGTGGCTGCCAGCATCTCTCTCTGTCGTCTCCTGGCCTCTCTCGCTCTCCTGTGCACCTCAGCCACCGTTACCAGCCTGTTAGAGTCCATCGTATAATAGGCAGAGTGAGTCAATTTCTTGTTTTTTACCAAAAAAAATCAACTGATAATACGTGAGGCGTGACCCAAATATATAGTGTAGATGGACTGCACATATTGTATTTAGATATTACGTTTTAAATATTATTTTTGTTTATTGTAGGGGGCTTAGGAAGCAGGCTGTGAGTATATAAATGCATCAGCTGCAATGTGGATTTGTTGACGGGGTTGCAAAAAGCAAGACTATAACTTCAGGTTGGAAATAGTTACTGCAAATGTGTGTATATATATATATATATATATATATATATATATATATATATATATATATATATATATATATATATAAATATATATATATATATATATATATATATATATATATATATATATATATATATATATATATATATATATATATATATATATATATATATATATGTTAGCATGCTAATAGATGCGTTGGGTCTGCCTCCTCGCGCATCTGTGCCTTTCAAAAGCACTGTGTGTAATGTGTCAGTCTGATGTCTTGACATTTTCACAATGTCTGGTTTACACTGTGGTGCTTAACATCTCAGTCTCCCACCCTCCATCATGTCTATCTTGTCACCTCCATCTCTCACCCTCCATCATGTCTATCTTGTCACCTCCATCTCTCACCCTCCATCATGTCTATCTTGTCACCTCCATCTCTCACCCTCCATCATGTCTATCTTGTCACCTCCATTTCTCACCATCCATCATGTCTATCTTGTCACCTCCATCTCTCACTCTCCATCATGTCTATCTTGTCACCTCCATCTCTCACCCTCCATCATGTCTATCTTGTCACCTCCATCTCTCACCCTCCCTCATGTCTATCTTGTCACCTCCATCTCTCACTCTCCCTCATCTCTGCCTTAAATAGTCCACCTGTGATTCCAGTTCATGTCTTTCCACCGTCTTTCTTACCCTTCATCACTTCTTGTATCTTTCCCTTTCCTTCACCACCTTCCTTCTCATCCACCACCTTCCCTACCCTTCACCAGGGTCCCTTCCCTTCACCCCCTTCCACACCCTTCACTTTTCGCACCTCACCGTCACCTTAGATCACTTTCCCTACCTTTCTCTACCATCCCTACCTTTCACCACTTTCCCTTCATCACTGTAAACTATCTTGATGAAACACTTTCATCAGAAGACCACATAAGACAAACCAACATTTAATCACCAAGTAGAAAATATTATGCCGAATGAATCTTAATATTGAATGGCGTGCAGAATTTTGGGGAGATTGAAAAATTACTACTACCTATGACCTTCCCCGACCATCCACCCGTCACCCTGCAAAGTTTTTTTGGTGAGGCTATCCCTGAGCGTCTGACCCCCTTCACAACCTCGAACAGACGGAGAGTAAAAATTACTTAGGTTTGTGGTGTTCTTTCTGAGTCCTCCTGGAGCCGGCGCCTGGCCTGGGCCTCCTGGCTATCCTCCTGTTGCTGGCGAGGCCTGGCCGAGGTCCTCTCTCCTGCAGCAGGTGGCCCTCCAGGGCGGGCAGCTGCAGGCTCACCACCGGCAGAGACACGCAGCTCACCTGCGGGACAGAGAGAGAGAGAGAGAGAGAGAGAGAGAGAGAGAGAGAGAGAGAGAGAGAGAGAGAGAGAGAGAGAGAGAGAGAGAGAGAGAGAGAGAGAGAGAGAGTTACTTTCTCTCTCTCTCTTTTATTCTATAGCCCCTAACTTACCTGTCTAATATTTGACTCTACTGTCATTGTACCACTCACTGGCCCTTGGGACCACTCCATGACCCTCAGTATGGTCCCCTGGCCTACTACGTCACTCCCTGACCCACTGCGTCACTCCCTGACCCATCCCGAGACTAAACATCACCCATCCACTCACGACGGCTGACCTACCTTTCTGTGACATTCCTTCTCGATGTCGCAGAATGGTTCGCTATGGGGACGCCTGTAGCCCTCCCCCAGGTCACCCTCCAGGCTCTCCATGTCGTCCTCCAGGTGGTGGTTGTCCCCCTGAAGATGGAGGTGGAGGGTCCTTCGATGGCCCCCTATGTGTCCCGGGGCCATAGAAGGGACCATGATGGAGCCCACGGGAAGGAGGAGGCTTTCCAAAGTGTCTGGAAGAGTCTTCAGGAAGCGGTGCTTCGAGGTCGAGTCTGGACTCCTGCCGAAGATGTGCATTTTGTCTCGAGTGATGGGCGACGGGTCCTGGAAGCAGGTGCAGCTCCAGGTAGCGATGGAGGGGTCGTCCTCGGGGCGACACGGGCCCTCAGCGAGGCCTCTGTCTGAGGAAGAGTCCTCGCGGGTCAAGTCATACTCGGGTCTCGTCGGGAACTCGAAGTTGGGAGTCAGGAGGCACGCTGAAGTGGAACTCGGAGGGCGACCCAGAGTGTCTCGCTCGCTATCAGGCTCTTCTTGGAGGCCCAGGTGGAGGTCCTGCTCCACCACTGAGTCTCCACCGGCCTTAATGGCTATCCGGAAGCTGGTCGAGTGTACGGATGAGTTTCGAGACGTCTCATCACCGTCATCACTTTCATCACCTTCGTAATGACTCTCTGGAGCATTTTCAGCGACCCTTGCCTGCCTGCCCTCACCTTCGCTGTACCAGCCGCACCACACCGCACTCTCACTCTCCTCACCATCTTGGTCATCAAAGGAACTCTCCCTCAAACTTTCCGACCGTCGCTTCGCATCTGGAGTCGATCCCGGGTGATTTCCCAAGGGTTCGACCTCCCCGGCGGCGGGCGAGGAGGTTGGAAGACCGTCGCTATTTTCCTCAGCGTCGCATTTTTCCTTCAGGAAGCGCAAAATGGCGCGCGTGCCGCCCTTGATGACGTCAGGAGGCGGGAAAGTGATGGGGTTGCCACTCACCTGCAGCGTCGCCAGCTCCGACAGTGTACCTGCAGAGGTCAGGTGGAGCGTTACTCCTGCAGTCAGGTATAACTTACACAGGTATACTGAGACACACAGGTACACACACACACACACACACACACGTATACAACCTACGTAAGACCAGTTGTTGTGTATGTAGCACCGGCATGGAATGGAAAGGGAGAGTCAACTCAAGATTATTATGGATTAGAAGGAGGAGAGGTGAAGCAGTTAAGACGTAATCAAGTACAAAATAATTATATATATTGACATGACAAGCAGGCAATGGCCAAACGGAACGACCAGGAGACACGGGTGGAACCAGGAGACACGGGTGGAACCAGGAGACACGGGTGGAACCAGGAGACACGGGTGGAACCAGGGGACACGGGTGGAACCAGGAGACACGGGTGGAACCAGGGGACACGGGTGGAACCAGTAGACACGGGTGGAACCAGGGGACACGGGTGGAACCAGTAGACACGGGTGGAACCAGGGGACACGGGTGGAACCAGGAGACACGGGTGGAACCAGGAGACACAGGTGGAACCAGTAGACACGGGTTGAACCAGGGGACACGGGTGGAACCAGGAGACACGGGTGGAACCAGGAGACACGGGTGGAACAAGAGACACGGGTGGAACCAGGGGACACGGGTGGAATCAGGAGACACGAGTGGAACCAGGAGACACGGGTGGAACCAGGAGACAAGGGTGGAACCAGGAGACACGAGTGGAACCAGGAGACACAGGTGGAACCAGAAGACATGGGTGGAACCAGAAGACACGGGTGGAACCAGGAGACACGGGTGGAACCAGGAGACACGGGTGGAACCAGGAGACACGGGTGGAACCAGAAGACACGGGTGGAATCAGGAGACACGAGTGGAACCAGAAGACACGGGTGGAACCAGAAGACACGGGTGGAACCAGGAGACACGGGTGGAACCAGAAGACACGGGTGGAACCAGGAGACACGGGTGGAACCAGGAGACACGGGTGGAACCAGGAGACACGGGTGGAACCAGGAGACACGGGTGGAATCAGGAGACACGAGTGGAACCAGGAGACACGGGTGTAACCAGGAGACACGGGTGGAACCAGGAGACACGGGTGGAACCAGGAGACACGGGTGGAACCAGGAGACACGGGTGGAACCAGGAGACACGGGTGGAACCAGGAGACACGGGTGGAACCAGAAGACACGGGTGGAACCAGGAGACACGGGTGGAATCAGGAGACACGAGTGGAACCAGGAGACACGGGTGGAACCAGGAGACACGAGTGGAACCAGGAGACACAGGTGGAACCAGGAGACACGGGTGGAACCAAGGAGACACGGGTGGAATCAGGAGACACGGGTGGAACCAGAAGACACGGGTGGAACCAGGAGACACGGGTGGAACCAGGAGACACGGGTGGAACCAGGAGACACGGGTGGAACCTAGGAAACACGGGTGGAACCAGGAGACACGGGTGGAACCTAGGAGACACGGGTGGAACCAGGAGACACGGGTGGAACCAGGAGACACGAGTGGAACCAGGAGGCACAGGTGGAACCAGAACACACGGGTGGAACCAGAAGACACGGGTGGAACCAGGAGACACGGGTGGAACCAGGAGACACGGGTGGAACCTAGGAGACACGGGTGGAACCAGGAGACACGGGTGGAACCAGGAGACACGGGTGGAACCAGGAGACACGGGTGGAACCAGGAGACACGGGTGGAACCATGAGACAGCCTTCATGAAGGCTGAGGACTGAGGCAGGTACTCAGGAACTCACTTTTTTCTCCTATCACCTAGTCCCATTTCCATAACTTTACACTTGCCCGTGTTGAGCTCCAGTAGCCATTTCTCTGACCATCTCTGCAACCTGTTCAAGTCCTCTTCGAGGTTCTACAATCCTCATCTGTCACAACTCTTCTCATCAACTTTGCGTCATCCGCGAACATCAACATGTAGGACTCTACTCCTGCAAACATGTCGTTAACATATACTAGAAATAGAATTGGTCCCAGCACCGATCCTTGAGGTACTCCACTCGTTACTGTTCGCCAGTCCGACTTCTCGCCCCTTACCGTAACTCTCTAGCTCCTTCCCGTTAGGTAGTTCCTTATCCATGCTAGGGCCTTTCCTCTCACCCCCGCCTGCCTCTCAAGTTTGAGTAGCAGCCTTATATGCGGTACTGTATCAAAGGCTTTTTGGCAGTCCAGAAATATGCAGTCTGCTCAACCTTCTCTGTCCTGTCTGATCCTCGTTATATTATCATAGAATTCCAAAAGGTTTGTTAGGCAAAATATCCCTTTCCAGAACCCATGTTGATGTTTGTTTACAAACCCAATGTTCTCCAGGTGCTCAACAAGTCTTAGCCTAATTATCCTTTCCAGTATTTTACATTGGATGCTTGTCAGTGATACAGGCCTATAGTTAAGTGCCTCCTCCCTATCACCTTTCTTGAAAATCTGTACGACATTTTCCCTCTTCCAGGGCAATTCTCCCGACATAAGTGATTCATTAAAGATCCTTGCCAGAGGGACGCTGAGGGCCTACGCTGCCTCTTTTAGTATCCACGGTGATACTTTATCTGGTCCAACCGCTTTAGTTGCATCCAGTGTTGTCAACTGTTTCATTACTTCCTCTGCTGTCACCTCTATATCTGATAGTCTTTCATCTAGGGCAACCCCTTCCAACAATGGGAGCTGCTCAGGCTCGGTAGTGAACACTCCGTGGAAACTGGCATTCAGTGCCTCGCAGATTTCCTTGTCACTTTCAGTATATGCCCCCTCTGTTTTCCTCAGTCTTGTCACTTGGTCGTTCACCGACATTTTTCTTCTTATATGGCTGTGTAGTAATTTAGGTTGTTTTTTCGCTTTGATCGCAATATCGTTCTCATAATTTCTTTTCAATGCTCTTCTTATGTTAATGTAATCGTTCCTAGCTCTGTTGCATCTGATCCTGTTGTCTTCTGTCCTTTGTCTTCTGTACTTCCTCCACTCCCGCCTGCTTCTCACTTTTGCTTCCTGACACTGTCTATTAAACCATGGGTTATTATATTCCTTCTTATTTTTTTCCTTTACTGTTGGTATAAATCTCTCTTCGGCCTCCTGGCATTTCCGTATGACTAGGTCCATCATATCTTGAACTGCTTTTCCTCTAATTTCTTCCTCCTACTGCACTTCTCCCAGATAGTCCCTTATCCTCCTGTAGTCCCCTTTCCTGTAGTCAACTCTCCTTTCCCAGACCTTTTGTCCCTTGGTCATAAGTTTGAGTTCCATCATGTAGTCAAAGACTAGGATACAATGGTCACTGGCCCCTAGAGGTATTTCATGCTCCAAATTCTCGATATCTTCTACGTTCTGGGTGAAAATCAGGTCTAATAGGCTCGGTGCATCTCCTCCTCTTTCCCTTGTGTCTTCCTTCACATGTTGTGTTAGGAAATTCCTGTCTATAACATCTACTAACTTTGCTCCCCACGTTTCGTCCCCTCCATGGGGGGGATTCCTTGAGTCCCAATTTATCTCTCCATGATTTAGGTCCCCCATGACCAGCAGCTTCGCTCTCATTCTGTAGGCTAGTGTTGCTGCCTTCTGCAGTTCATCTATACATGCCTTGTTGTTGTCATCATACTCCTGCCTGGGTCTTCTACTGTTTGGTGGGGGATTGTAGATTACCAAGATCACAATCTTCCTCCCATCTACTGTCAGAGTTCCATGTACGAAGCTTGTGCTCTCACTGGTAACACACATTGTGTGTGTGTGTGTGTGTATTCACCTAGTTGTATTCACTTAGTTGTCTTTGCGGGGGTTGAGCTTTGCTCTTTAGGCCCGCCTCTCAACCGTCAATTAACTGTTTACTAACTACTTTTTTTTTCCTCCACACACCACACACACACACACACACACACACCAGGAAGCAGCCCGTGACAGCTGACTAACTCCAAGGTACCTATTTACTGCTAGATAACAGGGGCATTCAGGGTGAAAGAAACTTTGATCATTTGTTTCTGCCTGGTGCGGGAATCGAATCCGCTCCACAGAATTACGAGTCCTGCGCGCTATCCACCAGGCTACCAGGCACCCTACCTGTGTGTGTGTGTGTGTGTGTACTCACCTAGTTGTACTCACCTAGTTGTGTTTGCGGGGGTTGAGCTCTGGCTCTTTGGTCCCGCCTCTCAACCGTCAATCAACTGGTGTACAGATTCCTCAGCCTATTGGGCTCTATCATATCTACATTTGAAACTGTGTATGGAGTCAGCCTCCACCACATCACTTCCTAATGCATTCCATTTGTCAACCACTCTGACACTAAAAAAGTTCTTTCTATTATCTCTGTGGCTCATTTGGGCACTCAGTTTCCACCTGTGCCCCTTGTGCGTGTGCCCCTTGTGTTAAATAGACTGTCTTTATCTACCCTATCAATTCCCTTCAGAATCTTGAATGTGGTGATCATGTCCCCCCTAACTCTTCTGTCTTCCAGCGAAGTGAGATTTAATTCCCGTAGTCTCTCCTCGTAGCTTATACCTCTCAGCTCGGGTACTAGTCTGGTGGCAAACCTTTGAACCTTTTCCAGTTTAGTCTTATCCTTGACTAGATATGGATTCCATGCTGGGGCTGCATACTCCAGGATTGGCCTGACATATGTGGTATACAAAGTTCTGAATGATTCTTTACACAAGTTTCTGAATGCTGTTCGTATGTTGGCCAGCCTGGCATATGCCGCTGATGTTATCCGCTTGATATGTGCTGCAGGAGACAGGTCTGGCGTGATGTCAACCCCCAAGTCTTTTTCCTTCTCTGACTTCTGAAGAATTTCCTCTCCCAGATGATACCTTGTATCTGGCCTCCACATGGCCTCCTCCCTACACCTATCTTCATTACATTACATTTGGTTGGGTTAAACTCTAACAACCATTTGTTCCACCATTCCTTCAGCTTGTCTAGGTCTTCTTGAAGCCTCAAACAGTCCTCTTCTGTTTTAATCCTTCTCATAATTTTAGCATCGTCCGCAAACATTGAGAGAAATGAATCGATACCCTCCGGGAGATCATTTATATATATCAGAAACAAGATAGGACCGAGTACAGAGCCCTGTGGGACTCCACTGGTGACTTCACGCCAATCGGAGGTCTCACCCCTGACCGTAACTCTCTCCTTCCTATTCCTTCCTT